TGTTGGTTTCTAAGCCGTTAAGAGCTGATCTCATGCATGTCTACAGAAAGTCGAGGCAAATTCGAGATTTGTCGGACTTGAGCAGTTGAAATAAGCGACCTCAACGGCTATTCTCTAACTAAGTGCAAAAGTAGTCCTCATTCAGCGTTCGGAATCCGCATTCGCTGGTTCATTTGAAAAATCGGTTTGCGTAATCAGCGATCATTACAGAAACCGATTTTGAGAAAGCATAGAATGTTTTTTCATCAGTTCAACTTTTTTTCCAGTTTATGAACATGTTGTCACGATATTCAAGTTAATGTATGTTTCATCAACTTCACACGTGAACTAAATTTCCCGTTCTCCGAAACACCTGGCAAAAATTACTCTTCACGGATGATTCTTAAGCCCTTCTACACGCCTCAAACAAAGGTGAAATTTCAAAATGGATTACTGAGAGCATGAATGTGAAACGCCTGAACCTCCACATGTGCACTGAAAGCGTAAGAGGCAGCAGGGTCATGCATATCTTGAGCTTCAGCATTTTACTTTCATGATTTCAGTGACCATTTCCAGAGAGATTCTTTGTTTGAGGTTCGCTCATTGTTGGTTATCAATGCCGTCACCCGCTCAGTTTTGAAAGCATTTCTTTTTCACCTGTTCCATGGCTTTGAAGAGATTTCAATTGCTCAGCAGGGAACGAATCATTTCTCTTAAAACTAAAACAACGGCAAATTTCCATCTCTCTTCGTGTTGTCCCTTGATAATGTCAGATATCTCCTCAACATTCTCGTGCACATTCACTCCTTTAAATACCTTCTCCAATAGGACGCTAGGATTTTCTGATGTTCTGAGGTCAATTCATTGGATCGTTAAATGGAATAAATCGCTGAAACCATTCATATCATGAACAAAATATATATTTTAAGATTATCGTTCCTGAATCCTTATTTCTGTGCACGTTATTGAAATTTAATGACAATGAATTCCTTACAATAATTAAATTGCACCTAGCTCAAAGGAATGTACGCTAGGGAGAAGCTGAGAGTGCAGAATAGGTGCATTTGAAACCAGCAAATGCCTCATGGCGCTTCTATGAAAGTGCAGTTTTTCTTCAATCTGCTGTGTCATATAAATTGTGTCATATAAATTGGTGAATTGCGATGTGAAAACTTAGTATCAGCATTTCGTACCGTTCCATTCAAAATAACCAACTGGAGAACTGAGATCAGAAGGAATATGCTGAGATATACGTATGCTCACGATGTGTCGTGATTCATTTATCATTATTTGTTACTTCTCTACCATCTTCTCATATCTAGTTCAAGGTGGTTCAACTGATCTCTCGACGTCACAGATAATCTATTGATATTATACGAGATTGTTTTTCGTTAATATTGAACTCATGGATGGAACCGATCTCGTTTGTCCGTGATCGAATTTTAGTTGACACGATGTCAAGTTCTCTTCTTGGCCAATGTTCAGTAACCTCTTCAAATTCTCATTACCTGAATCTTCGCTTATTTTCAGCTACCAACCGAGGACGGCCTTATACACGCAGAAGGGTCCGGCTGTGTTCCATACGAAGAGCAACAAAACTGCCAAATATCAGATCCTGATCCCGCTGGTGAGTTAGTTTGCATGATTATGGCGCGCTTAAACTTTTCAGATCAGATGCGCTCAAATGGATCAACCGCATCCAAGGAACAGCCACACCGCTTGACTGAGGTGTTGCTTATTGTAGTGTTGTACTTCGATCGATATCTGATCAAGCTTTAGCTTTCACCACTTCACATTATGCTGGCTTCATCAGCAGTTCATGTTCAATGCATCGACATGATTCAGCCGATTTTGAGTGGAATTCAATTGCACATCTAGACCGGTTGTAACTGAACAGCATGCATGCCAAATGGAATCCAGGGATGCTTTAAATTCCTAGTTTTTTTTTTAAATTCCTAGTCGTGACCAAATGATGTGGCAATCAAATGCAATGGTTACTCAGTGTGAATATTTCATCATGTCCAAATTTTCTGAGATTGCAGCATTGGATATAGTAGTACTTCTATTCTTATCAACGTGAATCAAGCAGATATATTTGCTATTATGCGAGATTTGCCTACGTATGTAATCAAAAACATTCCGCAACATTCTATCGTAATCACGATGAGAAAACATCCGGGCTGCATTTTGGAACAGTCCAGGCATCTGCTTTTGAGTACCTACTTTATAGATATTCTCGGTATAATGTTGTCATGAGATATTGAATGTGAATGAGGTCGGCATGGCGATATCCCTTGATGATGAAATATCAGTTCGGGTTTCGTGAGAATCTACTACATCTGAAAGCATTGAAATCGTGCTTCACTCCTCATAACTATCATTTTCGGATTCCATTTCACG